TCCCCCCCCCCCCCCCCGCCACAATGATGTAATTTAGACTAGTTCCAGTTTAAGTTAGTACTTATCTGAGTGTATCTTATAACGGATTTCAAATAAAAGAACTACAGGCAAAATGTCATGCCATTTTTGCTGCATTTGTTACAGTAAATATAGTTCATGCTATCATTATGTACTAATGGAAACTGAAATAAATATAAAGGAGAGAAAAGAAAATTTAAATATAATGTTGCTACACTTCTTTTCTTTTTTTCAGAAAACTGATAAAAACAAGGCAGCAAAGCTGTCAAATGGACAGATATATAACAAAACCGGCAGGAGCAGTGATATCTACTAAAACCATATAAAAGGTTGAACAACCATTTTGAAAATGGCAGTGCATGAAATATGATTGAGAATAAAAAAAAAAAAAAAAAAACGACACGACACAAGTTATGGCTATGTCCAGACAGATACTGTCTGTCCATAAAAAAGAGAAAACTCAATTGAAGTACTTTATATTTAATTCATAGTCGTGCACAAAGCAGAGCACAACATGCGTGACATTACTGAGAGAAAGCTAAGCAGACAGGGAAGCAAAAGACATGCATACCAGTTTTTATTTGTAGTATTAACTCACATACTAATCTGATGAAGTACAAATTATTTTAGCTTGTATATAATCGCTGTGAAACATATTAAGTTTACCTTGGGGGATGAAAAAAAAAGGATGTGAAAAGGAGGAAAACCCTTCCCCTCTCTTCTGAATTTTATATTTCAACAATAATTCAAAAACTTTCTGAGCACTCTCTTCCATATACATAGCAATAGAAGGATGTCTTCCATCTACGTAATTCTTAAGTCGTGTTTGTTCTGGTGTTTTAAAAAGTCCTTTAGATGTAAGATTGGCTTGTTTGAAAGCACTCCGACTTTCATTGAGCAAAATGCTTTAAAGCGTAAAAGGACAACTGCTACATTTCATTTCCTACTCATTGACAAGCCAAAAATACCCGACTGAATGTGGCATTCTGATGATTTAACATCAATAAGCATTTTGAAAATAACCATTCTGTTATGCTGAAAACCATTAACGAAGAAACATAATAGGAAAAATTATCAATATCAATTCTTGGTAAGATAATGTCACTACAGTGCTAGTCTTTTCTAAAAATAACAACACACAAAGCCATAAAACTTTTGTTTGGCAATTGGCATGTGCAAAAGCAATCATTAGAGAAAAGTTTCTATGGGGGCAACAAAAGCAGATCCAGGGGTCCACGTGTTCAGCTTTGATAAAACTATATTCAAATTTTCATATATTATTGCTTTATTCACAGCTGATTCTTGTATCAAAGTCTGCAGGCAGACTTCTCAAGCAAAGCCAGGCCAATTTCATTTGCAAACTCAAGAACCCAATTTAATTAAACCACACATGATCCCCAGTATAGGGGCACTCTTGGATCTGCCATCACAAAGACAAAATTTGAAAAACACAAATGCTTAGCGTACCCTGTTCCTCATGCCCCAGGCTCTGAGTCAGTGTCTCCCTCTGGTGGTCAATTTCTTCCTGTTGGGACTGGACCTCAGAGTATGTCTCTCTGTACCCCTTCAGTTCATTCCTTGTTCTCTCTAACTCTATCACCAAACTCTCCTTCTTCTCCTCCAGCTCTCGGAGCTGCTGGCTGCTTTGTTGTTTCTCTGCTTCGTAGCCTTCAATCAAGCCTGCAATGTTGAGTTGAGTTGCATCAAAGAATATCATGAGCCAAGCTCTGCATTTGAAATTATAATGATTGGTTCTACAAAATATTGGAGTGGAAACAACTCTGATTTTTAGGTGTTGTTGGAAGAGCCTGTCATTTAAGTTACCTTTGAAAAGCTTCATCATGCATTACGTACAAAATTCTTACTTAGGCTCATGCTAACATAAATTAAAGATCCCTAGCCAACAATTTCAAAAGGGGTGTTCTTTTGCCAAAAAGTGAACATTTTACACCCCTCTCCGACCCTGTATTTGATTTTGGCAAAGAATTAAAATCCAAATTTTGATTTAGAATGGAACTTTTGAACCCCCCCCCCTTTTCCTGAACCCATCTGACTAATCTTTGGGTCTGAATTATTCATGGACTATTTTCAGGGGACTATTTTCAGTGAGACCAAGTGCGTGAACAGGCCAGCTTACCTTCTGCTTTATTTAGCTCAATCACCAGGTACTCTTTGGCCTGTATCTCTCCCTGCAGGATCTGGCTCGTCTCCTCGCATCTCTTCCTCATTATCTCCTGATCTCCAGCACGCTCTTGAACCAACTGGATAAGTTCCTGGTTGGTGATGTGAGCCTCATGGAGCTGCTGTGTCGTCTGCTCCAACATGGCGAGCAGACGGTCGACTGCTGCCTGGAGTCTGGTGCAGGATTCTGGAAACAATAACGATTGGGAGTTAATATGGTTATATCAATTATTTTTTTCTTTATTTTTTCTTTATTTTTCTTCTCATACTCATATTTCCCCACTTTTTTGTTGTCAAAGTTACCCAATGGTTTCCTTGATTCTAGAACTGGGTTCAGGAACCCACATGGACGGGTAGCAAAAGTTAGTGTACCGTTTTATCTAATATTTTTTCATTTTTATCTCAAAGAAGAATTTTTTTCTGTCACCCTATATTAAAAGAAGATGCACATATTAGTCTTTCAGAGATGAAAGTGGACCTTTTATATATTTTTGAAGAAGGTAAGTGCCAAAAGAGCACAGCTGTATAAATACAACACCCAAGCATCCAGATTCCTGGATAAATATGAAACACTTAAACAGAACACCAAAACATCCAGGTATATGGATATATATGAAATACTTTCATCTCTAGTCTTTTTCAAATATCTATTTCCAGACTTACCAACCACCATCTCCTCTCCCTCTGGCTCCAGCTCTGGTCCCACGAACAGGCTGTCTGTAATCTGATGCTGGGACAGCTCAAAGCCTTCGTCTGTCATGGCGCTGGTGTCCAGTAATGTGGGCTCTGAGTCGGAACCTGTGACGATATTCAATTTAAAATTACAAAGACTCAAAACAAAATATAGCTAAAATCATGAATTGTCTGTCATTATTTTTTATCACTGTCAAGGCAAATGTGTTTTACCAAATCAAAAAGTTATGGGTGAATTTTGATAAAACTTTCAGGATGGATCAGAAATGGGCTAACTTGAGATTTTCGTAGTGACTTATTAACTTACTGATTAATAAATAATAAGAACACAGCTACCTTGGTGTACAATTAAACAAAACCCAGCACCTTTAAAACCTTTTTTTCTCTGTAAAAATATTTTCAGGGTAATTCTCAGTCTCACCAGCCTCTCCTACAGCGTCCCCCCTGTCCAGGTCACTGTCATCAGGTCTCTCAGCTCCCACCCCACTCCCTCTCCTCCTGCTGGGGTCCTCACCAGACAGGGGGCATGGTCCCTGTGGTTCTCCCCCCTGGGCGCCACCCTGGGCGGCACTCGGGCTTTCCCCAGACATCATACTGGTCATCTTGGTGGTGATGGTGTCTTCGGTGGCCAGGGTGGTTTTCACGGTGTCCGACAGCACACTTAGAAGTCTTTCGTTTGTTTTCTGGATGGCGTCTCTGGAATACGTGAGGAATTTGAGGATTACGAGAGGTGAAGATGGCATCTGGGTATGTACCACCATCCTGGACATGCACATTCGGATAATATGTAGCATAAAGCGGGATTCGCATCAATGATAATTCATTAATTTTTTGTATTGACTAACAAACACCTAGTACATTCCAGTCAGGTCAAATGGTTTCAGAGTTCTATAATTTCTCTGGTTTCAGAAGTAAATTAGTTAAAGTCATGTGCAAGAATTCCAGTGTATTGTATTATGGTAATTACTCAATCTTTTCAGTGGGGGGAAATTGTGAATTTTTCTCAATTCTGTCAAGTGATGTAACAATCAGCTCTTAGAACTGAGGTTGTTTCTCTTAGAACTAAGGCTATTTCTGTTAGAACATAAACAGGGAATGCACTATTAGAAAATTACCTTTCAGCACTAAGTCTGTCCAAGTCCGACCTGAGCATCGCCAGCAAATTGTCCCCTTCCTCTTCTTCACGATCTCTTCTACGCAACACTGCATCGTGACTTTCTCCTATGGTTTTTAAACGCTCTTCTAAGGCAGCTTTTTCCTGGCTGGTCTAAAATATTAGAGGTGGCATTGAAAATGATTTGAGAGATGCAAGAAAATCAATTTTTTGAAAAAAAAAAAAAAAAAAAAACATTCACAACGCAGGTGGGAGAGTTAGTGTCAGTTAAAGGTTAGGATTTGGTTTTTATGCCCATGCTGTTTTTCAGAATGACTAATTATTAAAACTGTAAATCTGTAAAATCCCATTTCTAATGACATTTACAACATGCAAAGCATTACACTAAATTATTTTCATGCATAAGCGTATTCTAAACAAAAATTTGCTGAAATGACAATTTTTTTTTTCAATAACCAGTGCTGGGAAATGAAGATGATAAAAACAGAGAAACATCTTCCCTACTGTGAATGCTGTGAATTTTATCCATTTTTTTTATTTTTCAGCAAATTTCATATTTTCCTCCCACTAAAAAAAATTGGCTATTAAAGTTAATAAATAAACAAACAAACAAATAAATAAATAAATAAACAACTAAATGAAAATCCTTTATAAGGAGGAAATACCCATCCCTGCATCATACCAAATTCATCTCTTCCTGAAGTTCCTCCATCTTTTTCTGCAGTTGTTCCACTTCCTGTCGTCTGCTCTCCATTTCCTTCACATGTTCTTCTTTCATTTGCATCAAGGTTTCTTCGTGCCTTTGACGCAGATGGTCCATTTTCTCTTCATATTCCTCCTGTAACTGCATTTCTTTCTTAATATTGATCGAGACCACGTTCTCTTTCAAATTTTGCATATCCATCTGCAGTGATTTTCTGAGCTCGCCAAGCTGTTGCTACAGTCCATGCAAAATAAGGGGTGCCGAGGTGAGAACAACATGGTGAATACTGGCTCACTCTAGCATATTAAATCTTAGCCAAATGCCAATAACTTTTTCATTTATCTAAAATACTAAATTTACTGCATTCAGCTTAACTTGTTCCAAGCTTGTTGACATTTCTAATTTTCCTGAAATAGTCCAGCTATCTGTTAAAAGAAGCTTTATCCTAGAGTGAGCAATGAGAACACATGCAAAAAATAGTCCCTTAAATGTTTTCTACATCAAAATAACACCAAGGCCATTCTACAGTTACTGTTGTCATTCCTATCAGGAACACTTTCAATTCTGTTCTCACTAAACCAATCGAAGAGTGGGGAAATGGCGTTCTTTCTACTAGATGAAGAGGTGGAAGTGTTTGGACAAAAATATTTGTTAAAAGGATGAACAATACTGAGGAATGGCCCATTAACTAAAAACTCTATGCTAACACCATTTACCAAAGGTGACAAATATTTTTCACTATATATCTAGCAGTGTAAGTACAACCACACAAATGTAACAAACAAACAAAACTATCATTTCAGGTACACAAAATAAAAACATCAACTTTGATGTGACTATGCCTTATAATGTTAAACCACGAATAAAGTGTTGGTAATGGACAATAAAAATCTATTAATAATTAAACTTTTAAATCAATATTCATGCACTGGTGAAATAATATCTGACATAAAAGTATTCCCCAAAATATAGCCATTCAGTGATTCTGATAAGCAATGAATTACAAGCTGATATTCAAGGATTTTCTATTAAGAATTCTTTCATGGCAGACAAAAACAGCCAAGAAGAAAATCGCGTCTACTTGTATCTTACTATACACCACTGCCAACAGAACACATTTAGAATCTATGCATTTCAATATTGATTCCCATTTCTCCCAATGTTATTGAGTACCCGTTCTTAAAAACTTATAATCAAATTTACACACAATTTTGAGAACTATAATACTGATTTCATCTAGATTAATGAATGGGCTACAATCATACACAGCCAGTACCTGCTTTTGTTTTTCTTTTTCGGCTTTCAATTCATCGATGGTTTCCTTCAGTATGGACTCAAACTCCTGTTTCAGTTTCTCCATCTCTTCCTCATGTTGACCTTTCATAACCTCCACCTCTGCCTGTTAACAACAAAGATAGAACAAGATAGCAAGTCCAATATTCACAACTACATTACTATCAATAACATTTATAACAATAACAATAATTATTATTTTTGCATAAGGCAAAAGCAAGACTGATAAAAAATATTGCTACGGTTGTCATTATTATTATTATTATTATTATTATTATTATTATTATTATCTTGATTGTCTATTCAACTTTATGGTGCATACACAAAATATTTACAGATTAAAATAGGAACAAAAACTTTATTATTATAATTATCAAAAATAATTCAGAGGCAAAAAATGTTGCTAAAGGGTAAAAAATAAGTTGTAGAAAATGAAATAAACCAGAGGCAGATTACAGTCAACTGTCCCTCTGTCTATTACACCCATTACCTCCTTGTCTTGAAGCCAAGTTCTTGACTGCTCCTCCAAGGCTGCCAACTGACTCTGGTATTTCTCTTCCACTTCTTGTAACTGTTTGCTGTGTGCCTCCTTCAGCTCTGCTTCCTCACTGACGGCATCCTGCTCCTCTGGCTGCAGGTCTAGAACACAAAGAAATTAAAAGCACACTAGACTAAATTCAAGTTGGGTATATAAGAAATGTATATATGATTTAATCCCTGTTCCATTTTTTCTAGGTTTTCAGATTTTCAGCATCAAACTTACTTTCACTAAATTGCAATATGATTTTTACAAAAATCTGGTGCATAAGAAGATAATGAATTGATATACATGGACTTTAACTTACCAGTGGCTGTTGTCTGCGCCTGAAGCTGTTCCCTGAGTGCATTCAACTCATCTTGATGTTGTCTCTGTAGCTCTACCTGCTGAGCTGTCAATTCTTCTATGCGTTCTGAAATATGAAAGCATTTTGCTTGCTATATATTTGCAATCCACGATTGTAATCAACAGAAAAAAACAATGCTGTGGCAATTCCTCTCTCTTTCTCTTTGTCACACACACACACACACACACACACACACACACACACACACACACACACACACACACACACACACACATCCTCTCTCTCTCTCTCTCTCTTTTTGTGCCCTTCTTTAATTAACTTATGCACAGTAAGAGCTTTATTGCTAACAATACTGATTTACAGTAATACTGTGCCAGTGTGATTTTTAAATAAATAAATACATATCAAGATTAAACATTCAAAAAAATAATGTAATTAAATAATTCGTTATTAGTAGTCCATGCCTTGATATTCCTGTGCTAACTTCTCTCTCACTTCATCCACCTCAGTCTGATGACTCTGCTCTAACTCTGCCGTCATCTCTTCAAACTTCTTCATGTGGTCTGAGATCAGCTCTTCCTGCAACAGAGAAAACATAGGAACCATTTAGAACTCACAGCAACTTATATGAGAATTAGGGGCCAGTTTCACTGAGAAAGTATTTTTAACCAATAAATTCTAAATTCTAAGACCAAAAAGTCTTAATGTTGTATCAGTAATAGATGCTACACAAAATGCTCACAATGAAAATGTTCTTACTTTAATTTGGATTTTCAACTGTTCCATTGCCTCAAGGTGCTGTTGTTCCAGTGTGCTTATGATGTCACTGTGCTTCTTCTGCATCTGGTCAAACTCTTCTTTCAAGGCCTGCAACTCCTGCAACCTATCAACCTCTTCAGAATCCCTTTCTGACTTCTTTTCTTTCAGTTGTCCAATCTCTGCAGCATGCTCCTCTTGAATCTTTTGCAGCTCCATCTGGTGTTCAGATTTCAGAACCTCCAGCGCCCTCTGGTGGTCTGCATTGGTATCTTGCAGTTTTCTGGAATGTTGTTCTTTGATTTCTTCCACTTCTTTCTCCCTCTCCTGAATGAACTGGTCCATCATGTTCTGATGCTGGTTCATGAATTTTTCCTAATTTTTATCAAACCAGAAAGAAGAAACACTAATTGGGTGGCCATTTTGGAGATGAAAATGACCACTTTAAAGCAGTTTTTGGATGGCGATTTGGGAAACAAAAATGTAATGCCATCTTGAAGCAGGTTTTAAACTCATCTTTTTCTGCCTCATTTACACAGAACAAAAGGTAAAATGAAAACTGACTTCTATCTGTATTTTAATTTTTTATGTATCAAAAATTAAAGTGTAGACAGAGATGAAATGACGCAAAGGTAACAAAGACTACCAGAAAACAAAAACAACAGACCCCAAAGCACAACTAACAATTATGAATCCCATGTGAAGTTACTGGCATCACCAAACACTATAATTTTTACATCCAAGTCAAACCATTTCTGATTGCAGTTTTATCAGTATTCTCAACACATCAAGATGTATTTCACAAGCAGACCTGTTCTTGCTGCAGCTCCTTGGCTGTCTGTGCCTGTAAGGTACTGGTCAACTGGTCAAACTCCTGCTGTAATGTGGTCTTGGTCAGCTCTAGCTCCCTCTGGAACCTCTCCTCAACTTCGGGACACTCACCCTTCTCCACTCCTAGATGTATTAAATATGGTAATTACTGATCTTTTGCAATGGGGTAACAAAGTAAATTTTACAGGTGCTGTTTTCTTAAGTCATAAATTCTTAAAATTAGAACATTCCTGCTGTGGTAGAAACAAAATTAAATAGCGGGCTACTCTTGGACTACAGATGCTATAGAGAAATATAATTCATGTAATCATAAAATTATAAATGTATCTAAAAATTTGATCATTTATGCCCAATGAAAAAATCCTGTCATTAATGATTACCATATGTTTGGGCAGTCACTGAGGTGTATTATCAGTTGTATTATCATATATCACTATGAGAAAGTCATGTGCACAGATCTACTGAGGTGTATTTTTACCCTCTTCTAACATGTAGATAAGCATGAATTCACCATTAACAGTATTATACAGGCAAAACAGTTGCTCTTCTTGACTGCTAATTAAAATTGATAATAACATGAGCACCAGCATTTGTGATTCGCTGTATTAACATGAACATCTACATGTAAACAAAAGTGTGCCATATTAAACTATTTTATTTATGAACAGTCCATATTTCATTTTAATTATAGTGCCAATACTGTACTTTTAATGTTAAATAAATTAAACATTATTGAGAACAGTGACCCTTGAATTTTCAAAATGGAATCCCAAACTTACCTTCTCTGAAGGTTTTCATTTCAGTCTGTGCATCCTGTAGCTGTTTGTTAAGCTCCTCAACTCTGACCTTTTCAGAGTTCAACATTTCTTGAGCCGACTTCAGTAGTTCCACTGTTTCACCATGTTCATGTTCTAACTGACTATACTTGGCACACAACTGTTCCAGTTCATTTTTATGTTCTTTTTCTATTTTCTCAACAACCTCCTTTAATTTTTCATCATCCTCGTTGATTCTATTTTTCAACCTTTCTTCAAGCTCAGCCACAAGATCTTCCTTCTCTTTATCAAACTTCTCCGTCATTTCTGCCTGACACCGTTTCAGTTCCACCAGCTGCTGCGCAGCAAAGTCGGATTGCAGAGTTTCGACCTCCACCTTTCTCTCGTGTTCCAATTCCTGTCTCAAGGCCTCCAGAGATTCCTTGTGATTGTGCTCTAGTTCAGACTGGATGTCTTCCTTCTCCTGCTGCAGCTGTTTCTCTGCCTCGGCGACGGCCTCTAGTCTGATTTTCGTCACCTCTTTGGTCAGGTCTTCACTGTATTTAGCCTTCATTTCTTCCAGGGCCTGTATGTACTGCAGATTAACAGCCTCCAATTCTTTGGCATATTTAGCTTCTGCCTCATCCTTTGCATTTTTAAGGTCCAATTCCGCTTTAAATTCAAACTGCGATTTGAGATTTTCCATCTCAGAAATATGTTGGTTTTCGAGCGTCCTCTTTTCAGTGTCTAGCTGTTCCTTCAAGAGCTCAATTTGTCTCTCGAGGTCAGCGACCTTGGTTTGGTCTTCCGTCTCGCCACGTGGGGAGGTGGGAGGAGTGCTGTCCACATCAGACAACACAGTCAACATAGTGCTTTGTTTGAAATAGTCCCGTTCCCGTGCCAGACGGATCTCCGCCTCGCTGGATTTGTCAGCGGAGTCCTGGCGTTCGATACTTGCCGAACTGGGTCGTGATTTGACTTCCAACTGACTTTTGAGGTCTGCGATGCTATCTTCATATTTTGACTTGACCTGTGTGATTTCTTCCACATAGCCTGCCTCTATGTCATTGACATGCTTTTCAAAAAAGGCTCTCAACTCTGCCATTTCTTTATTATGGCTTTCCAACAGTTCTGCCTTTGCTTTCTCTTCTTTTTTAACTGCTTCTATAATATAGATGAAATTAATAAGTTTTTAATCAATCAAAGATTCTGACAAAAGAAACTATTTGTTTTACACAAGCTAGTAAACATGAGTATAAGACTTACCTTCATACATAAAAACACACACACATATAAAACCCATCACAAGTTTACAGTAAAGCAAAACTGTCTACAGTTAAGACCAAAAGTATGGAGTTTAATTATCTGAAAAACTGTACATTCAAATCAACTCTAACTTTATATCACATTAAGTTTGTCCACACCTGTGGCTTGTTGTAGCTGTGCCTGAAGCTGGATCATATTCTGTTGATGTTCTTCTTCTTTAGTCACCAGATGGCGCTCTAGCTCCTCCTTGGCCTCCCACAGCTTGTTGTACTCTGCCTCCATGACGCTCTTCAGGGAAGACATTTCTTCTTCGTGGATTCTCTGGAGGTTTTGCCTCATTTCTAAAAGAGAAATATTTGTATATTACCAATACTTTTTAAAATTATGTATCTTGACATAAGGTGCTAGAATTTTTTAGTTGAAAAATGCACATGCACAATGTGTATAAAAGAGACTCTTTAATTTCCTAATGCAGTGACTTCAAGGACATCAAAAACTATCCATTTGAATAAACCCTATGTATCTATGTCATCAATATTTTGTCTTCAGTCACATTCTTTCAACTGGGTTTCTGTGCACAATAGAGATACCTTCAGCTTGTTTCACCAGCATCTCCTTCTCTTGCAGTAATGTGTTCATGTCTGCCTGGTACTCCTCCACAGAGCCTTGGTCCTGAAGTTGCTGCTGCTGCATCCGCTCCACTTCCTTGCTGTAGCCCTGCTGGTACTCTGATTTCAGGTTCTGTAAAATATGACTCAAAATGTACTGGAAATGCACTGTATTATAGGCACCACAGTCTGGCAACAGACTTAAATAACCTTGGCTCCCTATATATTGGAGAAGTTTTTTTGTAATGTAAGCACCATTAATTTATTAATCAATCATTCAAGATGTGAGAGGCAATAAATTCACATCAAAACATCCCTTATTTTTGTAACACTCAGTTAGCACAATTTTGTAACACCCTAATGATGTAAAATTCACTTATCTTACCTCCAAGGCTTGCTGGTGCTCTGCCTTCAGATTTTCTAACATCAATTTTGACTCCTCTTCTAAAGATGCTAAAATAACAATAAAATAACACTAATAATAATTTGCACATTGAGCACTAAATATATGCAACAATCACATTTTCTCCACATGTTAATGACAAATGAAATGTACAAAATCAGATATTATATTTTCATTAATTGAAATAATGACTTATTTGGCTAAAAGAAAGAGAAACTCTATCAGTGCAGGAGTGACTTCAAAAATCACCTGTTTTAGCTGTCAGATCCTGCTGATGCTGCCTGTCCATCTCCTCTAGCTTCTGTTCCCATGACGACTGCAAGTTGTTGATGTGTTCCTTGTGTTCTTTGGTCAGTGTATCCCTCAGACTGTCCAGCGCCCTGGTCATCTCGGCCTCCTTCTCTGCCTTGACCAGCTGCAGGTGGCTGCTGTAGATCTGCTCTGTGGTAAACTTCAGGGCCTCCAGCTGGAGCTTCATCTCAGCCTAGGGAAATATTATAGCAATGTTATAATAAAAGAATCTATGATAACTATCACAGCAGTGTTATAAGCATCTTTATAATTTATTTTAACAAATTCTGTGTTTTAATAAATATATTAGCAGTGTTATAATGTAAGCATCTTTGACAATTAACTGTATTGTACTTTAATATATTTTAATAAATTTACTATAGCGGTGTTATACACATCTTTTACAATAAAACAGTATTGTGTTACAAAGTATACTAGAGCAGTGTTATAGATGTGTTAAGCATCCACATAGATATACAGACACTTCTTAATACATGAAAAATCAGAGATGTATCAGAAAATGTCTTCCAGAGCTAAATGGTTCATAGTTTGAAATGATTTTCATTCATAATAGATCACATTGTGAAATTGAAATTTTAATGCCTAAACTGCCTTTCGTCTTGCTAATCATTAGATAATCTGGGGTAGTGCTAGCACTCGCCAATATAGCCAAATGCAAAACTGGCTGTAACTGACCAAACAAAACAGGGTTGATTTGACTTCTTTTAGTCAAATTTAAACCATTTGGAGAAAAAGGCTATGAAAAAGAAGTGATTTTGTCCAATCCAAAAAAAGTTCTAGTGCGATGCCAGATAATGTATAAAATATCTGAGAAATATGTATAAGGATAAAGCCAGTGGTGCTACCTGGTGATCCTTCTTTATTTCTTCCACATCCTGCTGGTGGTTCTCCTCCATCTTTCTCCTCATCTTCTCAAAGATCTCCTGATGGGTGGCGTCCAGCTGGCCCGCCATAGCACCAATTTCCTGCAGTGACAAGAGGGACAAAATTTGTTTGTGAATCACTGATCTGTTACTCACAACTTATGGAACAGTTATTCCACAGTATTTTCCCCTAAGTATATTATTCTTTAGAGATTCCATGAAAAAATGAGCATAAATATTAGGTATTTGCACAACTATATTTTTTCAATGAAAAAAGGTTTACAAACAAGTCTGCTCATCTGGTCTATATGTTGGTGATAACCTTCAAATAATCAGCATACGATTTACCTAATCAATATTAATTGCATTTCCTATCATATTCATTATATTTCTTACTTTTACTTGGACAAAGGTATAAAGTCTCTTAGTGACCTATTGAGTATTTATTACCCTCAATATCAATATATAAGCCTTATCCCCTGTTTACTGTGTCCTTGTTTACTGTGCCTGCCACACCTACCTCAGAATGCTTTTGTTGCAGCTCAGACAGTTCTCGCTCTCGTTGCCTCTCATGCACCTCCTTCACTGTCCCCAGCTGTTCAAGACGCTGCTGTTCCAGTTGCATCTTAACATTCTCCAACTGCTCTTCATACTGCTGCTTTAGGGCCTCCAACTGAAACACCAGAAATATCTTGTCTACTTACATAGATATAATAAATGTATTGTCTTAAATAGGATTTTTAGGAGCAATTACATCACAGATAACAGCTGAATTTGATTCAGATATAGTCTAAATTTCACCAACTTAAGGAAATTTAACTGAAACATGATAAATACCTTACATACTAATATAATATACATATAATACTGTATTATCTTACATAAGAATCTTACCAACACCAGAAATACCTCAAGAACTAATATGAAATATATAATACTATATCATCTTACATAAGAATCTAAGTGCCCTTTTAAACAATGAACAAACTTGAATCCTATATAGTCTAAATGAAATCAACCTCAAGCATTCCAACCTAAACAACACAAACATCTTATCACCTGATGCAATGCAGGTCAACTTTTAAATATTTTCAGTGCCTCGGCAATATGGTGATTTAAAAATGAAGAAGCTAATAATGGTTTTATATCTTAAGTAAGTATTTGATGGCACAATTCAAACAACAACTTTGGTTTAAGTCAATAAATTCTTTACATCAGTTGTATTGATAAAACAATCTAAAATTGGGCACAGTGTTTGAAAATTGACTAATCTTAACCATTTCACAATAGAAATGTCAATGAAATCTTTTTTACAAGAACCTGCCTTAAGTTTATAATCATATTAACAAATCTGACAACAGTATAACATCAAATGAGTAACTTTTCATTTTCACAACCTAATATATATACATAAAGCTTACAAACTTTTCAAATAGTTTAAAAGAAAATCAAGTGATGTCAGGACTTGAAATAATACTTGCAATATTCAAACGGACAATAATGTTCTAAAAGTCCTGTTCAGACCAGTACTAACTTAAAACCAGAAACTGTCCAACTGATATAGACCCCATTACGTCTTTTAGGTTAAAATCTTTGAGGTTAAAATTCTTTTAGGTAATGTGGCTCAGAATATTTCCAAGTTCAGTCAAGACCAATTTTCAATGTGGCTCCATTTAAAAAATATTTTTCATAAACAAGACAGCCATCATGACAAATAGTTAAAATGCCAATATCATGTAAACACATGAAACCACCCAAGTTTCTTTCTTGGCACCGAAAGGGTTACCAACCCTACTGTGCATATACACATAATAAACACTTGAATAATATTATAATTATACTACACTTACTATGTTAATAAAACAACAAATAACAAAAGTGGCCCAATTTGCAAACAAAGTTGTCAACTCTCCCCCTGAACTGTGACATTTTCACTCACCCTGGACCTGGCTGACTGAAGATGGATACCTTCTGGCAGCCACCCTACCACTATCCCGTCCTGGCTCTCTGGGCCGACTAACTTCATAGAATTGATTTGAAACATTCTGCTCTTTACATATGTGCTTATATCACAGAGACTTCATCAACTTATTGCCTTGGTCACAATATCAGATAAGTCATGATGATCAGGATTATTGGAGCGACTGGACTAAGTTTTCTGTCTTTTTTTTTTTTTCTTTTTTTATAAGAACTTCTTAAGAAGGTTGTAAAGTCAATGAGACTGACAATGATTTCAGATGGGGAAGTTGGACATCCGTTGAAATGAAAAACAGTTCAGCAAACATCAGCTATACATCCATGTTTGTTGTACAACACTTCTTCATGCGCAAGTCATCGATTCAGATGAAATTCAGAGAAAATTTAAAAATCGATCTTCTTATCCTCTTCTTTTATCAAGCACCTCCCTATAGTAGAGCCAAATGTCCAAATGTATTTTAAAGAAAAAAACTTTTAAATATAAAGAAAAGCCTCTAGCCCCTTTTCCCAGACACTCCAACACCCTACACACGTCCCAAAAGCGCTCTTCCCTTCAGAGTAACTTCAGATTATTTTCTCTTCACAATCCCTCTAAATAATTCACCACCCAAGCTGTTTCTCCATTCTTATTATTGCTTTCTTCCAATGGTAGAATGATATAATCAGGGGGGATTAATCAGAACACCTCCTAAATAATTCATTTGTCATATAAGAAATATCTATTTTAAGGAATGGTCAGGAAGGGAACCAACTTTTAAATTATTCAATCACCATATAAAAGTGGATATATTGGAGGCAGAGACCTGGGGAGAAATTTCTGAATGGTTTTATCACCATCCATAAAATGTTTTCTCAGGGATATTATGTGCAGTCACAAATAGCCAATAAGAGGTGGCCAATTTCTAAATAATTCATTAATAACATGTAAAATAAAGGGGGTGGTGGTGGCGACGGGATTTTCAACAGAATTTTCCAAATACACTTCATTACTTTTAGGACGTGGAATAGGCGTTTTGTTTTCTACTATCTAAATCCTATCCAAAGAACTGGTAGTTTGTTCCTCAAGGACTCGCATAAATTTTAAGTAAAAACTATGAGAATTTTAAAAAAACTGTTTAAGTCAACAGAAAAATCTACTGGTCGAAAATCTGTTTTTTGTCTCTAATCCAAGAAAATGAACTTTAAAAATATCTTAAATTTTCCAGAGAACAAAGGGGGGAACTGTTTCGGTTGCTTGCCTGCACTTAATAAATAATAGATCACATTTCAAGGACATGTCAACACAAAATTGGACAGGTGAATAAGGTAGATGTATCCTGCTGTGCAACAAATTAATGAGGTGACATTACAGAATTTTCTTTTATCGCAGGTGTTCAGGTAGAAAAGTCTACTAAGTAACCGAGTTCAAAAGATACCCATTTGTTTAAGGATTTCTTTCTACCTTAGAATAAGGCAATAGTTGTCTCTATGAAATATGGACTTTTGTGATATCAGACTATTTTCTTCAACTTAAATCCTGTGAAAACTGAACATAACTTGTATGTGTGTGTGAGAGAGAGAGAGAGAGAAGAGAGAGAGAATTACATAATAAGTTGGTTAGTTTAAACACACAATAAAAATAGCATCAAATGTGAACATATCGAAAATACAACTGAAGCTGCTGTGAAGAATGGTGCAACACATATAACCAAACAGAGATCTAATGTTAAAATCCACACAAATTAGATACTGAAAAAGTTAGTAAATCTACAACACAACTAAAACCAGTGTGAAGACAAGTGCAAAACAATAAAATAGTGCAGGGATGTGAAGGTCTGGGTCATTACAAAAGCATAGAATGAAAACACCAATGAAACAATGTCATACTCGGATGTCATTTCATTATTATTTCATCAGGTCTCACAATAAAAAATACCCAATACAAATAAAGTGTCCAGAATAATGGACTTAAGTAAGATCTTGTCTTTAATTTTCAATCTTCATCATAAATTTATTCAATTTAACCAACAAGAATCATGATAACACAAAAAGGAAAATTATGGTTATAGCAAGTGACAATCCTTCTATAAAAAGACTTAATTAGAAGAGTTATGATTGGCTGACAAACTGGCACTGCTATCAAAAATTCCCAACAGTGAACACATGTGGGAAAAAATTAAACGATTTCAAGTTTCTTCACAAGAAAAATTTTTTCCAACCATCTACCGCTTTTCATGACCCAGACCTGCACTTAACTACATTATACAAAAATATTTCTTCAATTTAACACCTCTTTGCTGTCTTCTTTGATATTTACATACAGAAACCATAGGCCACAGCATATCAAAATGTTATTATACAGAGACCATGGTTTCTATTTGATTTCAGGCTGGTGATATTGGGGAATTATACTAAACATCAATAGAAAATCGAGATCATTTCAAATTTTACCCCCAATCACTGTATAAATAAAATGTTACATGGGATTCCAAATCAATGACACATAATTATGTGTTAAAACATAAATGTGAAATTCCTAAAATAGACATATTTCTATTCACTTCCTGAAGTACAATGCTAAAATCTACTGAACTGTATGCTTTGAAAAGACAATGACTAATGCTTTATTTATCTCTTATGCTAGCTTTAACACTATCATATGGTTATAATACTCATAGGACATATAATATTGATGGTTAAATATAACAGGCTTTTCACCATATCATACTTTGAAACATTTTTCTTAACTACATCATCTCTAATATGATACTTGAAATATTTGACACTAAAATCTCAAAACAATTCAGATCTTTCAACATATTTCCATTATATAAACTGTCTTCAATAAAGATAAATCTCACATATTTATGAAAACTTGAAACAGAAAAAAAAAATAATAAAATATAAACTATAAAAGTATAAGGGCAAACCTAGTCTAATATTCACCCAAATCAATAACAAATATTGGTCAATTACTTATTTTTTATAATTCTAAGGCACATCGTGAAGAGGGAGATTTTGGGGACAGTATATGACCTGTCTCTCCGGTGACATCAGTGAGCCCTTGACCAGTTTTGAGTTTGCCCAGTTCTTAACAAGTTTACGGTTGCATTTCACGCAAATTGTAATGGCTTAACATAATATGTGCTATCTAGTCCCTCTGCTGTCTCACCACCCATCATTATAATGGAGAGAATCCTAGATAGCTCAAACTATCAAAACTTCACAGATTTTATAGGACTTCAGATATTTCAAATAACTTAGAAAAGGGGGATCAAAAATAATGGCAGACTATACGTTGACAAAAATTATCCGAAGATGTTTTTCTTCTGGCTGCTTTCTGCCAAATTATAGTCTATTGCACAATTGCAGAAATTAACTAATTTTTTTGTGTCAATTTTGTATTGTTTCACCTTTATTAATAAAAATTTGATCCCATCTCACACAAATTCTAAGAAATTTTTCAAGTCTCAAATGACGCAATACATTTAAGGGTATCTCTGACAATTTACACTGAGGCAAGATGCATGCTGTTAATCAAGTTTCCTACTATTAGAAAGCTTTATAACTTGGTCTGCTGAGACAGCACCTTTTAAGTTAAGCCATCACAACTTGAGTGAAAATGCGCCATTCACACCCTAAGCATAGTTAGTAATACAAGTGGCAGCCTAGTCACAGTAATAACTTCTTACACCATCTTAACTTACTCTTCCACAATTTTCTTCCAGCAACACGTCCAAGCCAAATTCATAAAGCCAAAAAGTTTCAAAATGGTCAAAGAGAAATATTTTTAAATTTTCTAGCCAAACGACACAATATCGAGCAGTTGCTGAAATTCTGTATGCTAGGGTGAGCCAACACCACCACCAAGCAATGTTAAATGTGAAGATATCTTCCCCTTTGTTCCAACACAAGACATGTTCACATCGAGACTAACATTGACCAGAAACAGACTAGCTGACATCATCATACAGCAGGATTGTTTAACAACATATTTACAAAGCACAAAGAGTGAGACACTGTGTAATCTGGTTATCCAGTGACATCAGCTGGTTTATTTTCAGGTTAAGTTAGTTCTTATGTGAACATGAGTAAACACAATACCACATGAGTATTTCCCATATATTCAAAACAAAATTCCAACCAAGATGATTATATAAATTTCAAAGATAATCATATTAAAAAAACTACAGATTATACCATCGCACCTTTTTGCTATGCTTTGTTTCAACGGAGGACAGCTTAGCCACATGTTCTTGCAGCAGCTTGGCTTCTCTTGCCGCGGCGTCCTCAGCGAGTTCTTGTCGCAGCCTTGTCATGGCCTCCCTGTATTCCATCTCGACTTGTAACTTCACTGCCTGCAGAGTCTTCAGATTTTTCTCCTCCAGGTCGCTCTGAACTGCTTTCAACTCTTGAGAAAAATTAGATTTGAGAACCTTCTCATTAGCGACTGTCACCTTTTCTAACTCGTGATATTTTGACTCCCATTTTTGGATTGTGTCATCTTTAAGTTGGATTTCCTTTAATAGCTGAGTTTTCTCATTTGCCAGGAGTTTTTCCTTTTCTTTCAGTTCCTGCTCTAATCTGACCAAGTCTCCCTCTAGAAGTTGCTTCTGCTCCAGAAGCTCTCTTTCTGAGAGATCTTTTTCGCCTATGAATTCTTCCAAACGTTGCTGCTCTCTGATCTTTTGCTCAAGATGCGTCTTTTCCCGTAAAAGTTCAATCTCTAAGTTCTCTTTTTCCTGCAATTTCAAAGCCAGAGCATGCTTCTCTTTCTGCAAGTTTTGCTCAAGTGCATCCCTTTCCTTAATTATTTCTGTCATTCTTTGGTCTCTAAGCTTATGTTCCTCCAATTTACGGGAGAGTTCGTCTTTCTGCGACTGCAATTCGGACAACTGCTGCCCAAATACGCCCTGGACTTCGGCTGAAACAGAATCAGCAGTGGAGAGTTGCTCCCGTAACACAGCCACTGTCTTAGCCTCTTGGTTCAATTTAGTTGCCAAGTCTTCCTTTTCCTTCTCTAGTTTCAAATTAGTTTCTTTTAATTTTTCCAATTGTTGTGAAATGTAAGCAGACTCCATTGCATGGTTTTCTGTGGCTTTATTTCGGTGTTCCTCTTCAAGTTGTTGATATTTGTTCCTGTCTTCTACCAGATCCTTCTCAGTGGCTTCCAATTTTTCCGAAACTTGCAGCAATTTCTCTTGCATCTCAGCCATTTCATTTCTCAAAGAAACATCTACGCCCTGCACTGACTCTATTTGTTCCTTGGCGTCCTGCAATTCTCTGATCAACTCATCACATTTTATGTTAGAGGCGAGAACTTCATCTTCTAACTCGTCCACCTTGGACTTGTAATGCTCACAGTTAGCAGTCAATTCCCTCACACGTGCCTCGTACTGCATCTTTTCATCCTGCAACACAGCAGCGGCATCTACTCTGCTGCCAGCTGTTTCTTGAATTGTCAGCTGGCTTTGCTGGTGGGATTCTATGTCCAATTTCTCTCTTTCGGCCAGCAGCAGCCTATTTTCCAAGTCCATGATGTACTTCTGTAAGGATGAGATCTCGTCAACAGACCCGCTGGTAGCTCGTAAACTACTCACTTCCTGTTTTAGGCTCTCGTTCTCCAGTGCCATGTTTTCATATTTCATATTTGCAGTCAGTAGTTCCTGTTCCATGTCGCACTTTTCTTGGTCAAGTGTGTTTCTAAGATTCATGATGCTCTCTTCCAGGTGTACATTCTGTTTTCGTAGTACTTCCAATTCACCCTGCAAGCCCTCCTCCTCCGCAAAGCCACCATAACTGACATCACCAGCCATGCGCTCATCTAACTCTCGACATCGTTGATGCAGACGGTTATTCTCCTCTTCCAGTCTGGAGTAATTGTCCTCAAAGTTCTTCTCAGCAAAAGTGTAAGTGTTTTTCTGCACTTCTATCTCGGTTGCCAGGGCCTGGTTCTCCTCTTGCAGCTGTTGGCACCGCGTCTCCCACTCCTGTGACTGCAGCTCCATCTGGTGTTGCAGTTCTTCATAGCGATGATTCCAGTCTGCTGCAACAGCCTCACTGTGGGAACCAACGCTTGCAGGGCTACCTGACCTTGACCTGGAATGACCTTGAACTTGCAAACGTTGTTGAAGTTTCTCCTTTTCCAACAGCAAGGCTTCGTATTTCACTTTCAAATCGATCAAGTCATGCCCGTCGTCACCATTACTGTCTCTTGAGGCCTGCCTCTGCAGGTTTGCACGCAGATAAGCATTTTCTTCAATAAGGGAGTTATATTTTACCCGCCATTCTTCCACGCCATGTTCCGAGGCAGACTCTACGCTCGCTTCTATTCCAAAGCGTTCTATTTCTTGAGACAGCTGGAAGAACACAAAGTACAGTCTTACACATAACCAACACCAAAACTGAAAAGAAAAGGTAGAAAAGGTCAATCACAAGAAAACCAGAATCTAGAGACTAAGTGTATTATTTCTTTTTGCACCCCTGCCACATCTATTTCACTTTCTGCCACTGAAACTAAAGTATTATGACGTATTCTTGTTATACTGAATAGCCCCTCAAAAAAATGTGAAGATGCATGTGAAAGATAAACACTTTGGTTATATATAAATAAGTGGCAGGTTATTTCATGATACAAGTAAAAATGGACTAGAACCATGCAAAAGCTTTCAATAACAATAAGGTGGTAGAAATACCCCCATAAAACTGAAGCATATAACCTGTTAAATTCCATTTCATACTTTTGAAAAAAGCAATTATAATACACTTTCATGCATAATATCTTGCATGCAAAATGGCAAGAGCACATGCCAAAAACAAAAACAAATAAACACTTCAAAAAAAATGTTGTTGAGGAAAGTGGACACATTAAGAGACAAGTACATCAAAAAGGTTGGAAAAAAATCATTAAATGATCTTAAAATGTTGAAAAGAAATGGTCAATGTGAGCTGAAAATTGAATTTTTTCATTTTATCATGTTATAAATGCAGGAGTAGCTAACATAAATTTGGTGTGGGCACAGGCTGTACTGGTCCATATACCCCCCACCCCTTTAACTTAACTGTTCCACCTGTGGGCCATCAATCCTTCGGTCAAACCCTGTTCTGATATGACATATCAATAATACTAAAAACTCCAGTAGACACATGTCTTGAATCCAGCAGTTTTTTAAAATTCCTATTCAATATTAAATGTCTGATTCAGAGTACATTTTATTAATGGATTGAAAAGCAAAGTAATGCCAAAAATATGGGAAAGTCCTCAAAAATACTTTCTCTCAAACCCCCCTCTCCTTGTGGCATGATATTTGCCCAGGAGTCTAGCTTGCACTTTGTCCATCATAAATCTCTCCTTGTCACTGTACTCAAGATGGTCATTTCTCCTGATGTGACCAGTTTCCGACCCTAGTGGGTCACATGACCATAATGCTGCCATCTGGTGGTTTTCAAGTGGACTTATTTTACCATGACCAAGTCAGGTCAACTATTTCAAAAACGGCTACAAGGCAGGTGCGATTTTTTTTTCTTTTTTTTAACTGAAGAATGGAAATTTTACACCACAGCTCATGTTTGACACTGGATACCATATTTGATTACTGATTGATTGATAATAATAATAAAAGTAAAATATTTTTGATGAAATAGCAATTTGCTTTGTACTGTTCTTTACCTAGCATTATTTTGAATGGAAAACAGGCATGTTCACAACCCTATTGTTATCTGGGTTTTACCTCTCCAGCTTAATTCTGTTTCCTTTGCTGGTATACAACACGGGACTTTTAAGTACACCGAGTAAACTTCACAACAGATGGCGCTAGGGTCACATTGGCACATTTTAATTTCAGAAAAATAAAACAAATGCCAAATCAATGCAAAATGAACAATAATTACCAAAAAAAATTGGCAATTTTCTACTGCCAAAGTCAATGCATGCCAATATGACCCCAGTAAAGATTTTAGAACAATTTCATTATTTTATCCACATACCTGCATATTCTCTTCCCCTAGATGCTGACTCTGCTGGGATAAAGTGAGCACCTCTTCCTGCAGGTCTTCCTGTATGTGGTGGACCTCGTCTACTTGTCTTAGCAGAGCGTCTCGTGCCTCAGCCAAGTCCTAACGTTAAGTAAAACCATAAAATTGAAAAAGTTCTTTTCTGAGTAAATCTAGGCTGTTCATATTTCATTGGGTGTATTTTCCCTTATCAAATTGAACTAAATCATTCTTAACAAAAGTCACACAAAAGAATATAAATGTCTGCATTTTAAATTCCTCAAAACTCCAAGCAGATGGTGCAACGGGTAGCTACCACATTTCTTGCAGACCATTTTTTTTTTCTTTTTTTTAATGGTAAAATTGAACTCTTAAGATAATAGCAAAAAGTTATCTGCACATAGTAAGCTATCCAAGTTTAACAAACTTCCTTAAATCTAAAACAGGCCCCAAATGTATCCCATTCTGCCATTCAGCACCCTAAAACAGAGTACCTGGGGTGGCGCAAACAATTTTTTTCGTTTAGCCAAATTACCACTTTTTCATTGCTTTTTTGTCCAAATGGTTTAAATTTGACTAAAATAAGTCATATCAACCCCATTTTGTTTAGCCAATTTCAGTCAGTTTTAGCATTTGGCTAAATTGGCAAGTGTTAGCACTACCCCAGGGTAGTTTTTCACTCTGGCAAACACCTAGTTTTCTTTCTGTAGCCTGCCTACCACTTAAAAACTGAAGTCCTTTTTTTTTTTTTTAAACAGGACATCAAATTGTTTTTTTTTCTCATTTTTGCCACTAACTACCATTAAACTGTAGCATTTACCCAATTTCTTAATTTAGCCTGTCTACCACTTTGGCAATCTCAACCTCACCTAAAAACTGACGTTATTAATATTTTTAAAATCTTTTGCCACTCACCACCATAAAATTCTACCACTTACCCTATTTTCTTTCTGCAGCCTGTCCACCACTTTGGCCAGCTCGTGGTGGTCCACTTCACAGGAGCCTGCTGTGGTCTGGTGCAACTGCTGCTGAAGATACGCCAGTCGTTGCTGCTCCAGTTTCTCCGTCTGAACCCTCTCCAGCTCCAGGCGAGCCTTCTGTAGCTCTTGGACAAATCTGGAATACAGACCACGCCAAGTAAGCTCCAGACACAAGTCATGTTTATATATATTTTAAAAAACTCTGAACATTTATCATGTGATCAAACTCGTAACCTACATTTTTTGGGTTTTCTATGCTTGAATGTTAAGTAAAAAATTCATAATTCTGCAATTCCGCAGAAAAACTCAAGCCTAAAACTATTCTTGCCTGGCTGTAAGAAAGTACATACTAGTATTATCTTATTTATCATTAAGAGTAAATGGGTATTTTTAGCAGTAATGGGACCATCACCTTTGTTTAAAATATTTGTTCAAAGTCTTTATATCCTTAGCTATATTTGTTGTTTGGTTACAGTCAGGCAAATGAATAATCTTTGATACCCTCTTTTTACCAAAATGACTGGAAATGTAAAATTTATTTTGAACTTGGAGGTATTTTTGGCAGTAATGGTAATGTCATCCTTGTTTTAAAGGTTTGTTTACAGTCTTAAAATCATTACATATAGTTTTCTGAAAGGGAGAAAAAAAATTTTTAACTTATGAGCTGTTTCTTTTGGGATCATTCCAATTACCAAGCAATCTTTTTCTTGCTTAACTGACTTACCTGCGCTCACTTTCAGATCGAATGCCATCTATTTTCTGTTTGAGAAGAATTTCCTGGTCTTTCATGAACTGTTCTTTTTCCTTCTTGTTGTCATACTCCCACTCGACCCGAGCTCTTTCTAGGTGTATCTCATGAACCTCATTTAGATTTTGCTCTTGTCTACGCAACTTTGCCTCAAAGTCCTCAGTAAGCGCCTGTATTTTACTCTGAAACTCTTTTTCAACATCACCACCATGCAGAGATGCTTCAACTTTAGAAGTGTCCACACTGTTAACAATTTTTGCTTCAATGCCAGCCTTCTGATGGTTTTCTTGCTCCAAAAGTTTTAGCTTTATTTGCTGCATTTCACTTTCATGTAAGTCTTTATTTTGTTTGAATTCATGTTCAGTTTGAGCAAGCTGGTGCTTCAATTCCTCTACTGTTTGCTGGTGGTTTACTTGAAGACTTTGAATCTCTGCATCCTGCTCTTTAAGTCTATGCTCGTATTCTGCCACTTGGGTCCCTGCATTTTCCAGGTTTTTCGACAGACCCTCTATAGTTTTTTCCGACTCTTGCAACTTGCAGCTCAGATCTTCCCTAACTTTCAAAGCCTCCTTAAGCTTTGTGTTTGCTTCGTCAACCTGTGCCTTGTAGGACAAATTTTCCTCCTCCAATAATTTCAGCCGTTTCGGATATTCCTGTATATGGCCAAGCTGCTCCACTACGCTGTGGTACCAAGTCTGCCACTCAGATGCCTGCTTCGTTAGAGTTTCGTTCTGCTCAGTCAGCTGCTTTAGTTCCTGATTCAGTTTCTCATTTTCCTCCCGCTGTTGTTCTCTCAACTGCTCCTTAATCTGAGTAATCTGCATCCCGTGCTGTTCCTCCATCTCAGCCATTTTCTGCTGGAGGTCAGTCTGAGAGATGCTGGGACTGTCTGGCCGACTGCTTGACCGCTTGCCCTGTTTCTGCATATCTTCGACATCAGTCATCAACTGACGCACCACAGCATTGGAATCCTTCTCTTTCTTCTTTAAAGCCTCGACCTGCTCTCCCAACGTCAGATTCTCCTGTGAAGCTTGAGAAAACTTCTGAGTTAGCTCCGACAGGGCGTCTTCCTTCTCTTTTAACGCCTTCTGCAGAGTCAGAACCTGATTCTTAGCCTCCTGTAATGCCTGGGACGAGAGCTCAAATCCTCCTTTTTGATTCCTCAGGGCTTCATCAGCCTGAGAAAACAGGAGACAAACACAAATCAAAGGTCAAGCTACAGAAAGAACATGTAGGGGGACATTTTCACTGCTTGTGTTCAGAGAACATCCAAGTGCTTAATACACATGCCAGGGTGCTAAATCTCTTCAATACAAAGTATATGAAATAACACTACATGTACAAAGATCAGCATGGGTCAGTCCTTTGACTACCATTATGAAAAGAGGACAACGTGTATCACAACAAATGTGGGAAAAGCAGGAATTTTCCAAAAGGGAAGGCTTTTATTAAATTGCTTCTACAACATATATATATATATATATATATATATATATATATATATATATATATATATATATATATATATATATATATGTGAAATAAGAACCTTGCCTCTTGAAAATTTTATATATTAAAGCAAAAGCGTAACGCAGTGTTACTAACTTCAAACATCTAGTAAAAGTGCTACTAAGCCAACACTCGCAGAATCTGAACTACCTACTTTAGAATTTCTATCCTGGATACTTGGACACATGAACACCAGAAAAAAAAAATAAAAATAAAAATAAGGACAGTTTCACTGTCAGCATACTTTTCAAAATCAATAGCAAAAGAAAGTTATCAAAATATTGTTTATTATTCAGACAAATTACCTCCTGAAGTTGTTTCTGAAGTGCGTGAACTTGGTTGGCTAACTGGGACGTCTCGTTGGAGTAATCTCCTTGGGACGAGTCTTGCTCTTGCTGGGACTTGGCCTGCAGAGTTGTGTGAAGCTTGGAGATCAGCTCGTCTCTGTGAGCTATTGCTGCCTGGAACTCTTGTATCTAGTCACACACAAAAAAACATGTATCAGACTTTCAGAATTTTACTTGATGTTTTTTAATCAGTTTCTTGCATTGTCACAATTTATTTTAAGAACAAATCAATTGCTTAATCGTGATGAAATTTTACAGAGTACATATTTTTTAATTTGGTTGAAACAGAAATATTCCCAGTTATCATACCATGTACTGCTCAAAGATATTCACCACTCAAATTCTCTTTGTCCAAATTCAGTTATTTAATGGTGTGTGTTAAGTTTTATGCCAACATGAGTGTCATAAGGAACCATACCCTGTGATTGTACTGCTCAAAGACATTAAGGTAAATTACACAACTTTTGAGCTAAAGAGGTATTGAACTGGACAAATAAATATAACTACTCAATTTCTGTTTTAATTATTTCATGGTATGTGTTAAGTTTTATATGCCAGTGATGCCAGTAATCCTACCCTGTGATTGTACTGCTCTACTGTTATCTTGTATTCATCTTCTTTGGCACCTGCTGAAGCACCGACAGCTTCTGGAACCTGTGGAAGAGAGTACAGGCAAGTTCACATCAGGTCAAACTGAAACTACATACTCTAACATTAAAGATTAAAGACTGAAAAATTAAAGCTGGATACTAGCCTGTGGTTTGAGCTTTTATGTCCAACTATCTTTCACAGCAAAATGTAAGAATTACTCCATATACTACATGAAATACAATGTTCAACATATCTAATATCATCAATAAAAAAAATTACCTGAGCTTTCAGTGCTTCATTTTCTTTGGTCAAGCTGTCTATGGCTAGCTGCTTCCCAAGAACTGTCTCTTCTAATTCTGTTATCCGCAGTGCAGCATTTCTCAGTTCAGAAGCTTGAGCCTCAAATTCCCTCCCTACTTCATCATCCTTGAGTGAAAAATAATTAGATTTTGTAACTTTTTTTTTAGAAATTCATTAAAAGGATTCTAAAAAGTATTTTTGCAACAAATGTAATTTTCCATCAAGAGTAAGGGACCATTCCCACAGATATTTGGATCGATCTATCTCCCTGGGGAGTCTCACTAAATTGCTATCTACTTAACCAGCTTAAACGTCTGTAAAGCCTAGCAAAACCGTTAATTATCTTTACCACCTAGCTGCTCAGTTGATAGCAATTTAGTGAGACTCCCCAGGGAGTCAGACCAATCCAGATGGAACGATCTAGGCATGGGAACCCAGTCTAAAGCAATTTCTTATTCTACTCAACATCTCAATAGCTGATTCTAAGGTCTCATTCCCATTGAATCTATTGTATTCTATTCCCATAGACAACATCAGTCTAGGAAGATCAATCCAACTCAACAGGGCCTTCTGCTGAATGTAATCAGTTTAACAGGTTAGCATGCCTCGTTTCCAAAGTACTCGAATAATCAGCAACTTTTCTGTATTCCAATGAACACCAACAGGAGACGTGTTAATCTGTTTATAAATCTGAATGCATTCAGCAAGAGTCCCCTCAGAGATGTATCAATTTAGCTAGAACGTTAGTTTCATGGGGTATGAGCCTTAAAATGATGTGTATATGGGTTTGCTTTGGGACTAGAAGATATAATGAAAATTGACTGAAATAAGAATATACCTATCTTTCTAATTAGCTGCCACTGTCTTACGAAAGAAGAACATTAATGAAAACAAAATGGCTTGTCACTTACAGCTGCAGAAAGTTCATCTCCACTAGTCATAGATCTTTGGTCGCTCTGTAAAATAAAGCAAACAAGAGAATGCACTGTGATTTGTATTCTTTTATAATAAGACTTGCATTCATATTATCAGCATTTGATTGGGTTATTCAAACATCAGTGAACAACACCCAATATTGATAAATAATTCATACCACTCAAGTATCAATGGAAACAATACCAATATAAATATTTCAATATGCAATTCTGGATCATCAAATGGCAATTGCTATGTGACATTTATCTCAATGATTATGTTGTAATTGGAAAGTAAATCTCTACGTATATGTTCTGGGTAGCATTTATAAGCACTATGTTACCCCTGAGGGGGAGAATGAAATATAGGGTCAGTGGTTGATTTACTGAGGGATTACATACCCTCCCGCCTCCCAAATTTAACTCAGATAGACAAAACATTTTAAATAAGTCTGGAGTAAGCCTTAAAACATTTCACATATGAGATTTTCCTGAGGGATAACATACTCCACCCACCCACCTCCAACTTATTTTAACATTTCAACCAACCAATGCCTGGAGTAAGTTTTATTAGATCCCATTCCTACAAACACCAACAGCCTACTACGTGAATTGACTCTACTCTACGGAAACTCTCACTGAGCACAATCAGCTTAATTGCATGACATACTTCTTCTTGTTTCCCCTCGTTTCCAACATACTAGTATAATATCCAGCTTTTCTGTGTTTTACTTCAGAGGAGGTATGAGAATCTGTTAAACTGATTGCATTTACCAAGAGTCCCTGTGGAATTAGGTCAATCCATGTCAACTGAAAGTGTTTGTGAGAATGGGGCCTAACATATAAAAAACCCACACATTACTGTTTAAGATCTTGAATACCTACATCTTCATAGGAAAAGGAATGCTGGTCACTTGACAGTGAGAGATCACAAGGATCAGTGGAAGATTCGCTTTCTCCATCTGCTTCTGCAACATCTTTTCTCTTCTTTTTCTTTTTTGCTTTTCTCTTTTGAAAAGCTGCAAGCTGTAAAAAAAACAGTAGTTTATAACTGAAACCACACGCAACTTGAATAATGAATTAAAAATGTGGATTAGAAGTTTTATTAGAAGAAGGAAGAATGAACTAGAACAATAATAAAACATACAAAGGTATACAGGTTTCCTTTTCTTTGTAAACCTTCAACCTGTCCAACGTTCTAATCTCTTCAACATTCACTTATCACGTGTAGTGGTCATTATTCCGATTCATTATCTACGATTTATTATCAATCAATTCTGATAAAAAATCCTATTTATTCAAATTCCGCCTCGGCTCATGTGATTTTAATGGCGTAAAACTCGAGTTCGAAGATCACCCGTTGAGTCCGAATTTCTCATTAAGAAACATCATATCTTCAACACTGTTGAGTTTTTTAGATAATTTTCTAAAGGATATCGTTCTCGATCGCCTCTTGTGACGATAGCGAGTCGAGTTGGCGCGCTTGGAATGCGACGCCGGATTTTCACCAAGAACCGACGCAGTCAAGGGCCATGAAGACTGTGCATATATCCATGCTACTTGTTTGCATTGTAACCAAAATACAAACCTTCTCTTTTCCCGCTTGCAATTTTCTTTTTCTTTCTTCTTCGTCCATACTAAACAGATATTTTTGTGTGATTATTTACCAACTCGACACGGCCATGACGGAAGCCTCGGTTTCATATTAAAGAGGAGCCTGTCTTATTTGTTGCGAACTTTGTGTTTAATCGAAGGTCATTATCTATATATTAAGGTTTTAAAGATATGGAACAACCCATTATAATGTTAACTAATATTATTTTTTTGAAAACATCAATCCCATTTTATTTCACAATAGCTTATCATTCACTTTGTTGTTGAGCAAACCTGGCGGCAAATAGGCAAACTATCAGTATAGGGAAAGCTCAAAATTTGGTTCATATATTCTTTTATGATATCGCAACTACGTATAAAATTAATTGGATAATACTAATAACTACCAATTTTTTTTCTACAATGCTTGTTCAATTTTAAGAATAAACCCTTTTCGTCAATAAATATCAGGTTATCCCATCTAGTATAAAACATTCTAACAACGTTATAAAGATAAATGGATATGTGTCGGTTATATTTACCAATATATCAAGCAGTATTCGCGCCATACGCTGTCGGTATAACGTTGGACATCAAGCCTGCGTCATACGCTGTCTTAACTACAACTAGTGGCTGATTACAAATTGTGGTTGGGGTTAGTTGGCGACTTTAAAGCGATGAGGATTTTAGTACCCTCAGGCTGTCGGTACCTATCCGAAATTAAAGACATGATGAAAAGCTTTAAAAATCCTTTGAAAATACACTTAATATGTAATAAGATTTATCAAAATTATTAAAACGGTATTTTCAAGTAATCCTGATATTTGATTGGCGTTTGTGATGAATTAATGGATTGTTTTAACATCATTTTAAATAATTCATTCTAATACATTGCTTACGAGGTCAGCTAAAACAGGAGTAGTGAAAATGTTTGGAAGTAACGACTTGATTGAAGCAATTACCCCACGGTCATCTGATAGACAAGTTGGGGAGTCCATTCAATTGGAGGGTTTTAGTGGAGAAAATCCACACAATCCGAGCGATCTCAGGCTATTCCATTCCATAAGAGGGGTGAAAGGTGGGGCAGGTCCATTGCATTAGAGGGGTGATAGGTGGGGCGAGTCCATTGTATTAAGGGGGGG